GGTAGCCTCTAAGAACTCTTTATAATATAAAATAAAATTGTATTTTTTCGCAGGAAATTTTTATGTTTTGCATTCAACAATTTTTTAGGTAGAAGGAGTATACTCTACAGAAAGAAGTATAGTATAAATACACAAACCAGTAGCATCATTGTTTACTGTCAATATCAAGTATGATATGCTATATGTATTTGTATGTGCTATGCTTTTATATGACTGGCAGCACAACAGGTTTGTTTACAACAGCATTAGCACAAATATGTCAGTATTGCATGTGCTATGATGTCACCAGCAGCTACAATGTCAATAGAAATTTTTCAGCCGCATTATAATTTCATGAGAACACCATTATTTAAGTGGTTCTTCACTGACAGAAATGTTACGTGATGTGTGACTATGCTAGCAGCAGCCTGTGGGGCCCAAACCTCCATAGTATGATACAGTTAGCAATGACTTTCATATTGGGTATACTGAGATGAATTACAATCTTTGTGCAGAGTTCAGTAGATCCACAGATGATATTATCTGTTTTTAAGAAAACTAATGTTTACAAAATTGCAAGTGGCATAGACAATTTCTTGCAAGAATCCATGTATTAAAGATAAAATTAATTATGGACACGTATGAATTTTTTTAATAGCAGAGTTGATGTGTGTCCTCCTCTTAGTAAAATCTCCCTGTCAGGTACAATGCAAAGTAAAAACAACAATGATCTAATCAAAGTGAAGAGACAATACCCCCAGAATTTGAAATTGTCAAGAAAACTGTTTTAAATGTGCTATTTAAAATAAGTATGTTCTGCTTATACACTTTTGATGGGAGTGTAAATTAGGTCAACCATTGTGGAAATCAGTGTGGCAATTTCTCAAAGAGCTAAAAGCAGAACTACCATGCAACCCAGCAATAGTACATAACCAAAGGAATATAAATCGCTCTATTATAAAGAGACATGCATGCCTATGTTCACTGCTGCACTATTCGCAATAGCAAAAACATGGAATCAACCCAAATGCTCATCAATTACAGGCTGGATTTTAAAAATGTGGCACCTATACACCAAGGAATACCTTGCAGCCATAAAAAATAATGAGATCATGTCTTTTGTGGGAAAATGGATGGAGCTGGGGGCTATTTTCCTTACCAAACTAATGCAGGAACAGAAAATCAAATACCACATGTACTCACTTATGAATGAGAGCTAAATGATAAGAATTTATGAACACAAAGAAGGAAACAATAGGGCTCTACTTGAGGCTAGAGGGTGGGAGGAAGAAGAGGAGCAGAAAAGATAACTATTGGGTACTGGACTTAATACCTGTGTGATGAAATAAGCTGTACAACAAACCCCCATGACATGTGTTTGCCTGTGTAACAAATCTTCACATGCAACCCCAAACCTAAAATAAAAAATAAATAAATAAAATAATTATGTTCTGCTTTTAGGATATATATTTGTAGGTAGGATGGAAAAACATGGACTACATGTACACCACCAAATTGATGATAGTAGTTTTCCCCTCCCTGTGTCCATGTGTTCCCATTGTTCAACTCTCACTTAAGAGTGAGGACATGTAGTGTTCAGTTTTCTGTTCCTGTGTAAAACTTAAGTAATTTTCTCAGTATCATTTCTCCATCTCCACTGTAGTCTACATTGTGCAGAACCTGCTGCGAATCTAAATATGAGTTCACAGATGTGATAGGCAGAATAACAGTTCCCTAAATATTTCCACATCCTCATCTCTGGAACCTATGAATAAATCACTGCACATGGCAAAGGAGAATGAATTAAGATAGTAGATGAAATTGAGTGATAATCATGTGACCTTAACATGGAGGGGTAATCCTAAGTTGTCCAGATGTGTCCGGCATCCTTAACAGTAGGACAGGAAGGAAGGGGAGGACGAACCAAAGAGATGACAGCTTACGACGAAATCAGCCCAATGGTGCTGGCCTTTAAGCTGGAGGACAAGACCATAAGCTAAGGAATGCAGGCATCCTATAGAAGCTGAAAAAGGAAGGAAACAGAGTTTGCTAGATCTTGCAGGAGTACAGCCCAGCTGGCACCTTGATTTTAGCCTTGTAAGGCCCATTTCAGACATCTGACCTTCAGAACTGTAAGATTTGTGTTGTTTTAAGCCACTAAGTTTGCATCAATCTCTTACAGCAGCAACAGAAAACTAATGCAAGAGAGGTCTTGATTTACAAATATGTATGCTTGCAGGTATACATATATACACCCATACCCCTAAAGGAGAAACCACCAAGGACTAGAAAGTTATTTGTTGGCAGATGCCTTCTAACATACGTTTTAGTAAGAAAATCTTCTGACATTATGAAACATCACTATCACAGGCTAACATAAAGAAACAAAAATTTGCAGCAAATATAGCAAAGGCTTTCCCCTGTAAGACCTCATATAAATTAATGAAAATAATATCAAGTTAATAAATGAGCAATGAACTTTTGATATAATTCACAAAATAAAAAACATAAATGGCTAATAAAATATGAAAACATGCCAGAGGAAAGAAAACTATTGCAAAAATAAATAACTGAAGAGATGCCATTTTGTTAATTTTCTTGGCATGCATTTTTAAGTGGAACTATCCTACGGATATGGAAAAGCAAACGTTGTCAGTCACTGTTGTGGTAGGATAGATGATACAAACTTTCTGAAAACCAATAATGTGTAAAAAAAAAAAGTCATAAAAATATTCAGTGGCACTTCTGCAATAATAATTTTACCTCTGAGAATCAGATCATCGAAAATTTAGGAAAAGCATTAATATTTTTCATAACATTATTTATAACTTAAAAACAACTTTCAATAATAGAACATTACTTTAATACATTGCAGTATACTTAAATGATACAAATTTATGTAGTCATTAATAATTAGGCTTATGAAAAGTACTAGAGTCCTAAGAGTGTAAGTGACATATAGCAACTACAAGAGAGAAAGATTGGAAGGAAATCTATGGTAAAGTTATTAGTGATGGGATTAGGGGCCATTTCTTGCTTCTCTATGTAACTGGTTTACTGAATGAGCTGGTAGAATACAGTCAAAAGGTAATTTTGTTTGTTCTCTCACTGCCCCTTCAAGTACACGTTATGGCTTTGTTCTAGCTCATCCTTTGGATCATATTTCAAGCAGACCTTACAGCTGTCTTAGGCCCTCAGAGATATTAAATATCTAGTCCAGGTCATTGAAAATTCTCATCCACTTAAAAACTCCTCCTGAGCTTGGGTCTGATTTCAACTTGCAGACTTGCAGAGGGGAAAACATGGCACTGCTTCCTCCTCTTCTCACTCCACTTCTCTCACTGTTTTATTGCAGGGATGAAGCAGAAGGAGAAAGAATGGGAGAAAAGCAGGGAACGAGGTGTTAGCATGAAGGGTTCCATTGTAATCCGGCAGGGATACTCTCTGGGTGTGACATCTCCCACATGCTGATGCTTCTTCTTGTAGGGTGTTTTTAGGGGTTCTTCAGAATCTCACCCTGCCTCTCCTATAGGATCCCTACCTGTTTATTGGATGATCAGCCTCCATGGTTTGCCACTTTGCACCCCTACTTGCCTTCTATAGCCAAAGTACCATCATCCTGAGGTTACCTATCCCTGCCAGGAAGTCTTCTGCGGTGGCTCCAACTCCAGAATAGCACAGAAAACTCTCCAGAGGCCTTACCCCAGACTAAGGGCCCATGTACACATCCTGCCCTGCCAGTCCTGCCCAATCCTGTCTCCACACACTATAACTAAAAGCCCCTCTAGACACAGCCTCTTGCCTTTTGGCTCTTTCAAGTGTGAGTCAGGTGCCAAGCCCCCATGTTTCCCAAAATGTAAGAAATGTTAAACTCCCCAAGTGCTTTCTGAAGCACCCCCTCACTTGGCTTGAGGTGAGATGAGGTGCCTGCTGGGTGGGAAAAGCCACCATCACCCTGGCAGATTTCTCTGGAAGCCCTTCTCCTAAGACCTCACAATAACCTTTTCCCTAACCTCTCACCCCCTCAGAGCTTCTTGGGCTTTATTTAGACGTTCTAGAGAAGGATTACAAGTTCAGGGTCCTAATTCACATGGGTAGTCGAAAGCCCCAGATATCTTGTTCTCTGCATTGGAAACATCAGCCTTTGATACTAGGACTACCAGGAAAAGTTTATTTTCCCAGTGTTACTTTATAATGGGAGTAAAGGGTGGAAACAAATGTTAACAAAGGCAAGAAGAGAAACTATAACAGCTATCAAGTATCTATTTTTCATACCTATGGAAGTGCTTATAGTAAGTATTTTTAGACTAGACTAGATTCATTGACAATTTTGTCCTGTAGGAATTGCAGTGTCTTTGGCTCCATGGAATAAAAATCGTCCTCTTAGCATGATAAATTCAGAGGTTAAATTCTACACCTGCATTTATTCTTTGAACTACTAGTATTAAAAGTATAAATTATCTCTTCTATTTTATTTTAACACTACCAAATCACCAATAAGTTAATGCGTTTTCTTGTGATATGATTAACAAAGCAATCTAGTATCTAAATATGATTTACATTCCCAGAGCATTTTAAATAATTAAGTAGATGATTGGTATTTAATTTATATGCAACATGTTTTGATTCTTTCTGTAGCTTTTAAATATTAAAATAGTTATAGTTAATGAGTGCTAGTACCAAATGCTCAACCAACAGAAAAAAAAAAAATTAGAACTTTAAAATGGATTTCTTAATCTTTGCTGACTATAAAATATAAGAACTGCAAGCCCCAAATCAAAATCTAAGTGAAATATCTAAAAATTAGTTTTTCCCCCATTTTTGTGTACTTTTTAGAAAGCTAGTAAGGCTACATAGAAATGAAAAGACTCAAAACCACAGCTATCATTTTAAAAGAGTTCTTCCTACTGCAAATTCTTGAAAGTTGCTCATAAATTTTTATCTTTATTAGATTATATTGGCTCTTTAATTATGGAAACTTAGAATCAATTCTTAAAGTGCCAATTTTTTCTTTTTTGCAGTTGGTGGGTTTTGTGTATGCCTGTTATGTGATCAGTATTTCCATGGAAGAAGAAGACACATGTAAGTACTATTATCTCTCTCCCTGTAAGTTCCTTTTGAATGAGATACGGCTTCCAAAACTAATCATTACATGGCTATGAAATCGTTTATATTTGGAGCCTACAATGATTGAACTCAGCATACTAAAGTTATAGTCAAAAGTTGACAGACTGAACCGCACACAAATAAGTTGATGCTACATATTGAAACTCTCAATTTGTGAGAGCTCGCAGAGACTCAGAAGCTCAAGGACTGCTGTCATATCATATCTTAGCAACTTCCCATCAGACACCTAACCATTATGCCAACCAGGCAATCAATGGTTGTTTTATCTATTACCAATTTTACATATGCTGGTAGCAGAATTTTGAAGTCTAAGTAACAGTAATGATATCAAGACATAATACATTACAAAAACTCTATAGATATATAAACTATATAAAATGCAAAGAAGAAAACAAAAATTTACAACCTTCCAGGTGAGATGCAAAAGAGAACTACAAGAGGTGTTTAAAAAATGAATGGAATGTCTAAAAGCTAAATCATGTTTTAGCAGAACACCCAAAGGAAAAAAAGAAAAAATGTATATTAATATTATGACCTGAAGTTATATGATAGAGCTTTAGCAATGTAAGTCAACGAATGGCCTTCAATGAGCACCTGCTAATATATAAGGCAGTTCCTGGTACAACTCTATTAGGGACTCATGTAATATCAAAGAAAATTTTAATTTACTTTTAAAAAATAAATTATTTTAGATAAAGAAATCACACCTTACCAAACCAGAGACTGCATTGCAGTCACTGTTTGAATTTGCACCAAGATGAAGCAAAGTAGCTAGCCATTAAAACTTCCTTCCAGAACAGTCTCAAAGGGGTCTGATGAATGCTTCCCATCAAATAGATGGGTGGTACATGATATTTGAATTGGAATGCAGAATCTAATGGGGTCTATCTCAATTTATTTGACTAAATCTCAGACCCTCAGATTTAATCATTCAGGCAGTGAAAACATGCAGACAAATTGCATCATGTATTTAATGCTTACTCAGGGTTTTGTTTGTTTGTTTAATGCTAGATAAAACAAAAAGTTTCTGTCACTTGACAAGTGCAGTTCTAATGGCCACACTTTCACTTTGAGTTTAACTTCAAGAACTCTATGTTTAGGAGTTTTATTAGCAGTTCTACAACCTGATGAAGTTAATACGCAGAAGGATAGCAGCATGTTTCCAACCCACAGCTAAGACAGGCTGCACAGCCAAAAACAGTTGGTTGAGTGTGAACAATATTAACTAGAATTTCAACCTAAAAGTTATTCGACTTTGAGCTGAGTAAATCCAAAAAAATTAATAAATTGATAAGTACCATCTGAATCTCTTATAAAGCAGATAACTACTTCTGAGTAGTTATCAAACAACAACAACCAAAAACCATCCTCTTTCTTTTCCTCCACACTGAACTGGTCAAAGACTCTCAAAAGACACCAGCGCTCAGTTGCACCTTACTGTGGGAGAAAAGGCAGATTAATCAATAGTCTTCTATTATCTAGTGTAATAAATATATGAAAGTCTTTTCCGCCAGACTTGTGATTTAAGCAAAGCTGGGAAATGCAAAATGGCATGCAAAATAAAAGACTCATCTAAATGGATACTTTTTTAAACCTTCTTTTAGCCTTCTTTTCAATGTATATAAATTGTATTGCTCACTGGCAGATATTGTCATTCCATTGACTTTGATGTCCTTAATTAGCTTAAGTTTCTCTATAGAAATCTCTGAATCAGCTATTTCAATGCCCTTCAAACTGGATTGAAGCAGCTGCTAGGAGACTATTCTATTAGCGGTTTAATTCTAGTGTTTGTTATTAGAGCCATACATTACATTACCGAGAGACATTTGGATACAGTACTTATGTTGTCATAAATTTGAATTGACTTCTAGTCAAAACGAGCCTTGGGTGCTCAAAACAAAGTATATATGAGTATATACGCCCAAGACTAACTTAACATGATAATCTGATGGAAGAGAGATGACAATGGAAAGCAGTTACAAATGTTTTAGTCTAATACTCAATTGAGGGTAATTTTATATTTTTTATTGAAAGAATTAGGAATCAAAAGTGCAGAGGTAATTAAATTGTCCCAGGGTCTTCAGAAGGCAGATGTGAGCAAAAAGTAATGTCTGAAACCGATTACAATGATCTCATACACTAGTAATTACTATTTGTGCCAACACTTAGCTTTTAGGTGCAATAATGAACTGCCACTTAGATACGACATTACCAACCCTCAGTCAGGAAGACATGTTCTTTGAATGGTTTTTCCAAAACTTATACATGAAATAAGTAAACAATACTGGTAGCTTCCCAATTTATCCAAGTGCACTTCCAGAAAGCTTATTCTAAAAGAGAACTGCAAATATAATGTCAATTTTTTTGCAGGCAACATATCATTTATAATTTTGATTCTATTCTAACTAATGAAAATTTCTGCATTATTCAAAATGCAAAGTTAAGCCTTGTTCTTGGACTGAAAGCTGCCAGCTAGCCTTAAAAATTAATAACAGCTACCACTTCCCTCCTCCGCACTGTTAAAGTGGATATATGGGACCAACATTTCAGACAGATATTTCCAAAGGGTAATAAATAATTGAGAAAACATTTATTTCTAGCCACCCATCTTCTTAGTTACCTCTCAGTCTCTTTTATTAACTATTTCTTATCAAGATTATGATTGCAGGTCAAAGACAATGAAATAAAAAGCTCACAAAAGGCAGAGTGCTAGGTGGGGTCAGTGCTTTCCATCATTCATTCTAATAAAAAAGCCTAGTTATATCTCTTTCTTCCATTTTTCATTACTTTTATATACATCTATCTATCTATCAATCTCCATGAACACTTTCATAAGACTGGAATCTCTAGAATCATAATGATAAAAATCTATCAACATCTTGTTTGAGAATCCTTTGCTGAAAATGAACTTGTAGATTTGTTACTACCTTGTTATGCTTTCTAGAAAGAATGTTTTTAATTAGGGAAGTGTGGAGATAAGGCAAAATAGCCTGAAAAATAGTATTTTACTTGTATAAATACTGCCAGGCTTTTTCAGAGGGTCAGTTGCTAGCACTACTCCTTCTAATATTAGGCTACAAATTGCAACTAGCACATTTATTTGGGCTCACAAAGGCTAGTCTGGCTTGAATATGTTGAATGATGAGAAAGAGAAGTATATTGAAAACCCTAGCAGCTTTTAAAAAGGATATGAGCCCTTCAGATGTGAGTTCAATATTTTACATTAAAAAGCTCTAAATAGTTATTTATATAAGCATTTGACCCTTGCGTTATACTTTTGGGGAACTTTTTATTGGAAGGAAGCATAACTACCGGAAAAAACATTTCATCGCTCTACTGTCCTTGAAGCTTCCTGCTGGCTAATGTTCATGTATTTACCTGTCTGCCCATGAATTCCTTCTAAGAAAATGTAGTGATATTTCCATAGCAATGGTGTGAGCAGAAATTTTTTTTAAAATCCTATCTCCACCTAAGAATTTATGAAAGAAGCTAATGGTAGGAAAAAAAGAGACTAGTTTGAATGTTAATTTATGAATTTCCTTTCCCCACTTATAATGTATAGAAGCATCAGAGAAGTAAAATGACCACAAGGCCAGACACCAGGGGAAGGAATAAACAGAGGCCTGGAAGATCTTCAGAGCAGAAAAACAGCTCATTGTTTAGCACCCCTAGCAGTGTATGGGTATTTGAAGGCGAGAGGAGAGGAGAATGTTGTGAGTCAAAAATGGAGAAATGTGCAAGACTAGGTAAGGGCGATCCTGAAGTCACAGTAAACATTTCAAAGAAGCCACCATGTTTGCCTAATAAGCCATTAAGAATGTACTCATTCTCATAGTGCATAATTTTCTTTTTTGGTAAGTATCTAGTTGGTTGCATGTAACTGTCCTAAAGGCTGATCTTTCTCCATCAGCCTCACTAGAGCTCAGATTTAGTTCCTGAAACATTTTTCTAATTTGCTGAGGTGGCTCTGCCAAATAGCTACACAATGACTAGCCAATCCTCCCAGTAGCACAGCTCTATGAGGGCAGAATCTTTGTTTTGCTCCCCACTGCAACTGTGTAGTTTAGAAAAATGCCTTGCATGTAGAATTCAATAAAGAAATATTTGTTGACCAGGTGTGATGGCTCAAGCCTGTAATCCCAGCATTTTGCAAGGCCGAGGCAGGCAAATCTCTTGTGCTCAGGAACTCAAGGGCAGCCTGGGCAACATGGTGAGACCCAATCTCTACCAAAAATACAAAAACATAGCCAGGCATGGTGGTGTGCACCTGTGGTCTCAGCTACTCGGGAGGCTGAGGTGGGAGGATCACTTGAGCTCAGGGTGGGGGGTAAGTGTTGGTGGGATGGAGGCTCCAGGTTTCAATGAGCTGAGATCCTGCCACTGCACTCCAGACTGGGTGACAGAGTAAGACCTTATCTCAAAAAAATGAGAAAAATAAATATTTGTTGAGCATATATTGTTAAATAAATTTTCTGGGCCCAACAACTCGGTTTTACAAAGTCATTTTCAAAACCCAAAGGTTCTGAACTTTGATGAAATGATACTGTTTTGTGTTTCGAATTTAGTGATATGTCCAATGCACTTGCAAATATATATGTGAGGCAAGTAGAGGTCCTACATTTTTAATGCAATTAGATATAGTTTTAGTAATTTTGAAAGTCAAGCTATAGGAGATAAAATAAACCTCCACTGTACCACATCAGAACAAGAGCTTGATTTTGTAAACTCCTGGACAAGACATCCCTGAGAAAACAGGGACTTACTTGAAAGGGATGCACTCACAGAATAAGGCAGGCATTTAGGAGTAAACTCATCTGTAACATATGGTGAAGGGGACAGAGTTACTGTCAAAGAGTGGGGACCAGCAGGGTGGTAACCTAGGCCACCCCACACGTGGGAAGTTCAGGCACCACAGAACAGGATCCCAGCTACAGTGCTCTGGTTGGGTGACAAGA